ATTTTCTACGACAGCGAGGGAATTGTGCACAAAGAGTTCATACCCAGTGGCGAGACAGTTACTGCTGCCTACTATCAGGACATTTTGAAACGTTTGCTTCAGAGAATCCGTCGTGTACGGCCTCAGTATCGAGAAGATGGCAGTTGGTTCCTGTTGCAAGACAAAGCGCCAAGCCATAAGGCTCTCATTGTTAGGGAGTTCTTGGTCACCAAAAAAGTCTGTGTATTGTTGCATCCACCGTATTCACCAGACTTAGCACTGTGTGACTTATTTTTGTTTCCAAAACTCAAATCACCACTGAAAGGCTGTTATTTTGATGACGTGGACACCATTCAAAGGGCTGTAACGAGAGTACTGAACAGAATTCCAGACACGGCCATCCGCCATTCCTCCCAGTTGCTTCATGGTCGTTGTGTGCAGTGTGTAGGTGCAGGAAGAAGCTACTTTGAATAAACAATGCTCAGATTGCTCATACATGGAACCATTATTCTTTTCCAGCATCAGTCCCATTTTCCAGTTGCCGCACTGTGTATTCCCTACTATGGTACATTAAGATTTCTGTCTTCTGGGTTGTTACACTGTGTAGTCTGGTAGATGTTTACCAACGTTTCAGAGGTCATACTGCCTCCGTCATCAGGGCGATGAATGTGCCAACTGGGTGGGTGGAGCTAGGTTTATAGGAACTGGACGGTGAATGAAGTAGCCTGCCCCCAGCCAATGCCTGCTCCAATTGGCTGGGGCTTATGCATTAATTCAGCAGATATTATGCAAAGAATTCATAAAGTTTTAAACGAGCACTTAATATATCATCATCCAATATAATTCTTCATGTTCATGGAAATCAATAATAACAATAACAATGATAAATTAATGTTATATACAGCATTGTTGCAAGAACTTGTAACAGTGGCTCAGAATTACATCTGCAGCCATTTAAATATTTCTTACCCTGAGGCCATCACTGGATATTCTGCAGACATCAACAACTTTCTCCTCTCTGCTTCCATTTCTCTTCCTTAAAAATTCAATGCAGACTTCACCAGACTCAAGAATACTCAAGATGGCACTTTTTGTACGATGCCGTGTGGGCTGTAATCTAACAGAACTTAAGGGAGAATGAGTACCACAGTCGGCACTAGTCATGACCTCAGTACTTCCACCAGTAGCTCCCTTAACATTTTTTGCAAGTACTACTTGTTGCATACAACCTGAGCCATGTTCCTTGAAAACTTCATTGCTTCCAGCTCTACATGTGTACCTATCATCTAAACTTCCATGGCACCCAGACTCCTGCAATGTAGGGCATGAATTTAATATTTGACAAGATTTGTTTATAGAATGCTGCAGCTGTGGGGAATTGTCTGAATGGTGAGCACAATGTAAACAATTTCTTCCTTTGCAGTCCTGGCTCTTAACATCATTGTGAGCACCACACATACATTTCACAGCAGAAGAATGTTTTACATTTTCTGTGTCAATATTTTTGGTATGTTCACAAATTTTTCTACAGCAATCTGTCTGTGAACATTTCTGACACTTTTCACAGTTTTCAGTGTGTAACTGCATTTGTATGGGAAGTAGTGAACCAACACTACAGTTGCAATTATTTCCGCTGCACTGTGAATTGTGTCTTGTTACATTTTCAGATGAATGTGTCCTAAATAAACAGTTATTTGTCACTTTACTAACACTTTCGCTATTCTGAAGGACCTTTACAGCTTCCTCCCCTTCTCTGTTAAGTTTTGTCATGTGGTTCTGACAAAGAGAGTCACTTGTGAACACACTATTTTGAGCATTGTCAGATGCTTGATGGCAGCACATTCCTGTGCATGAACCATGCAATATCCTTCCATCATCACCTGAACACTTTCCAACACACTTCCTACAATTCTGTGCACATGAGTCCTGGCTGTGAACTGATGTGCTCTTGTAACAATCCCCATGATGTGAACCACCATCAATATTAGACTTATTCCCAAATGCCAGACCTGAATGCATTTCTCTCTCCCCACTACTTTTACAACTAGTTCCCTCATTAATACAACTGTCTCCTTCTCCAGTGGAGCAAATAACACCACTTTCATTTCTACACCCAGAAGTGTAATGTTCAGTGTGAAACCTGGAATTTGCACTGTCTTGAAGATTTAAAAGGGACAAAGAATGTTGTAGGTTTGAAACCTGCACTGATGGATGAGTTGGCAACACTGCACAGTTTCTCTGATCAGTGTTTGAAGATGAATGACTAAATCTGGCACGAAGATATCCTGGTTTGTTGCATTTTGCTGATGAATTTGTGCCATGAAAGTTTTCTTCTGACCTATAAGATAAAAATGCATTAATTCTCAATTGTAACTGTAAATTAAAGTATAACTTACACTTAACAATGAACACCAATAAAACTATATTAAAAATTATGAAATTCCACTATAAATATTAAGAACAATGAATCAAAAATACCTATTCAAGAAAACTTAAAATATCTTTACCACCAGCAACATCATAGTTTGCTGTTTGCTGGCGGTAGGTAAATGCACTCTCTTTGAGTACCAGCTGTCATCATTTACTGTGAATGTGTTAACCTTTAATGTATAGGGATAGCCCATACTACAGAGATGGCAGCAAGACTAATATTAGGATCTAACCAGTAATGGTATTAGTATTGAGAGAATGTGTGTGTATATATGGAACTATTTGTGCTAAAATATTGCAATGAAAAGTTCTTTAAAGAAAACACATTGTTCATTTCTACACTAGTATATTTTAAGAGTATAAAATAGTTTTGCAAAACAAATTATAAAGCACTAAATTAAAACAAAATACAGAGTCAATTGAATAAAAATTTTCTTGGATATTATCCATCGTCTAATAAATATAAAACGTAAAACGACGTTTCAAAGATGGGACTCTATCAGCCAGCCTAGTTTGGATTTATCTCCTATTTGGATACCTGTAATCTCCGAAGAAATCCAAGTTGGGCATCGAGTTTTGTATTAATATTCATGTGCATTTATTCCCACCTTTTGTGAGTTTTTTTTTTTTTTTTGCTTTATCGTGTTTATGAATTTCTACATACTATTCTTTTACGTCCCACAGATGGATGGTGTGGTAATGCCTTTTTATTCCGGGACTTTCACTTTTTACTTTGTCCGGAGATAGGGATTAGCTCTATCTAGTGGGCCCAACTATGTAGGAACCTGAAGACGGAGATAGAGTCCCATCTCCGAAACGTCGTTTTACGTTTTATATTTACTAGATGATGGATAATATCCAAGAAAATTTTTATTCAACTGACTCTTCACCATCATCAAGAAGTTTTAGATTTAAAATATAGAGTATATAAAAACAAAATGTACAGTATTTATAATTTAGTGAATGTTCTTCCCGTGATGTAACAAAAGGCTGATTCACAACATTACTTTTATGTGGACAACATAAAAATATATGTTTATACACAAGCTAACTTTGCACTTCAAGCACTGACATTTTGTAGTCATTCTTTTCTTTTTCAATAAGCACTGCTAGCTTCGCTAGACTGCTTGTCTGATATATCTCTGCTCTTAAGCAAGCAGTTACATGATCCTGCTGTGCTGCATTGTGAATTTTGATTTATTAGTTTTTCATACGTTAGTAATATGTAATGTTTTGAGCATTAAATTGCAGTGTTGTGATATGAAAGATCAACCTAGAACATCCTCAGAACATAGAACACCAGTAAAGCTGAACAGATTGAGAAAATTTGCTGTTAGAAGTCAGAATAAAAGGACTATTTACAATGTGTACAAGTTTTTCAAAGATATTTCTAAGCTACCTGAATATTTCAGTACTATAAATGTCCACATTAAATAGCTAAAAAGAAGGTACCAAACTAGGGATTTAGTTATTATGTGACATGGTTCCAGATGAAGAACAAAATCATCAAGTGTGCACAACACTGTATTTTCTCATAAACTAAAAGATCAATTAAGATGTGGTTTTCGAAAACATACAGTTTAAACCTTTAGCTACATTTCATAAGCAGAATGTAGACAGTTGGATTCAAAGAACACAAATTTATAGAAGGGTATATTTTTACATACAAGGTAAAGAACAATTCAAAATACAGGGAAAGATTTTTCATTAACTGAAGTTAATAAAATGTTAAGTCCTGCAAAACATCCAACTTTCCTGAGCTCCGCTGTTTGTGCTACAAGATTAAATAATTCTGCCATGACCTTGGAGCTTATAATTTGGTGATACAGGTAAAAACATAAATATCACAAACACTAAAACAGAAATTACTTTGCATAGAAAATTATTAAAAATGAGTATATACAAATTAAGAGACTTGATAACTTAAAAATTGTACTGTCTTTTAAGCTGCAGTCTCAATAGAATTGAACAGAATACAGCTTAGGTTCTATCTTTAATAGAAGAAAACTGAAGTACAAGAGAAATGTATCATCAAATTAATTTTATATACTTCGTACAAATGATAAAATGTCCTGGATGCACTAGATATTTGAATATGCCCTTTAAGAAGAGAGATGAGATTTTGCAATATTTGCTAATGTTCTAATCTTGAAGAAATAACAATCAGTACTTAAAAGAAAGCTATGTAAATCCAGAGAAACCTACCGTGATATAATTTTAACAGACTGTTTTCTCATAATGTCTTCATTATTGTCACGTTGCGAATCTGTATTTAAATCCTCATGCAATCCTTTACGATGATACTTCCAAGTTGAGGATAATGGATCACTGGAGATATGCTCATTAATAGTCTGAAAGCTGTCCCTTGTTTCCTGTGAATGAGTATTAGTTGACATTGTGCCCATCCCACTGTCAGCCGTGTCCTCTGGCAGGCAACTCTGATCAAAGTTAAAATTTTTAATTAAATAAATAAAACATAGACATGATTATGTGTAATTTATATAAAGAAACATGCGCGCACACATATACAGGTTTTGTGCTTATTCTGGTAGCAAAAATTGCCAGTGGCATAATTTTATATAAATCATGATTAACTCCTGCCAGTCAGGGCATTCCTCGTTTGTCATATGACTTAACATTTTATTTCCTGATGAAACCAAGCACATGTAAATACACTTAACAGATGCTATTCTTCTAAAAGTTTTTATTTAATTCTACCCTGGCATACATAATTTATTTTGGGTGTGACAAAGTATAGTGCAATGATAACTATAAATACTGACTTCTTTCTGAAAATTATAGTCATACAACACTATATCAATTCTTTCAGTATGTTATGAACATATGACAGCAAGAATTTGGCAAATCACAACACAATAGTTTGCCAGATCAGTGGGCAAACAACTGTGTGCCCAGTATTCCTCTTCTTTATGTCAGCACAGCCAGTCTTAGGAAAAAAGTATTTTTGATTTGTCCAGTAATTTTTCTGCCTCAATATGACTGGGCAAATTACAAGTGTGCACATGTTGTGACACATCTCATAAGAGCACCTCAAGGTCTCAATTGTTTCAGACAGAGGACACATTTATGCCAAGTCTGTTAAACAAGGACAACAATATGCCTAATATGAAGAAAAACATGAAATGTGTATGTGTGTATTAATTGCCTCTCCTAGTATTTCTCAGAAATTTCATCTCAGCTGTTTGTAGTTTGTTTTCCTTTGTCTTAGTACATATCCCGTGTTTCTGCTCATTATAATATGCAATTAATATTGTAATTTTGAATTTTCTGTCTACATCTTTATTCCACAATAAAGTCCTAGCCAAATTTTAAAATTGTGGAGCCTTTCCAATTCTTTCATTTTTCTCATTTTGGATCTTGCCATTTTTCTCAACCACACTTCCTAAGTAGACAAACTGCATCAACACTAGACTTCTACATTACAAACTTCTCTGTCAGTAAATATGGATGTTCAAGTGAAGTACAGCCTGTACCTTCACTTTGCTGTGGTAACTAGTCACATATCTCAAGAAAGTCATTAACATCAATTAACATTTTACTTAAAATCAGAAAGACATATTGGTGTCTTTGTTTAATAGACAAACTGGAATAACTAACTGAAACAATGCAAAGTAGAGGAAAGCCACAAACCGGCAAATACAAGGAAATTACGAATGACTAGAATTATGATACTTACATCACTTTCAGTTTTAGAAGAAATCAAGAATGTTTAATTATTATGAATTTTCATATTTCTATAATAAATACTTCAAAAATGAACAGATACTGTTCTTCTCAAAATATTTTTGTGATATATTTAGTTAGTACTTAGGAGACAAATTTGAAGATTTTGTATTCCAATCATTTTCGAATATTACAAATGTCTGTTAGAAAGAGCATTTTTCTGAATTTTGTAACTGTAATTCTATAGAGGTTGCACTACAATATGTAAACTGTGTTTCTAAAACAGTGCCTAATAATCAGAGATTCAATACATTAATATATTTAGTGATTTATGTATACCTGTTTTAACAAATTGTGCATGTGACTGCTCTTCATGAACGGGTGATCCATGATGTTCTGGAGCTGTATTCTTTCTCTAGGGTTTTTCTTTAACAATACATCAATCAAGTCTCTTGCCATAATTGACAAATGTGATGGTACCTGTAAACAAAATAGGAAGACAGGTTATTTCATTCATATATTATACACATGAATTTAATACCAATATGGATGTAAAATGTAAAAAGAATTCTTGCATCACCAAACACAAGATACACTTTAACAGTAAATCACTGTGAAAGTTTAAAACCAGTTATTCCTTTAAATATTTTAAACTGTTGAGGAATAAAGTGCATTTACATGCAACCTCACAGAAATCTCAGGAACCCTGAGGATCTGAAGTAGTGACAGAGAAAGATAGATATCAGCAGAAATGCATTTCATAAGAACTTTGGGTTACACACTTTCTTTGATCACAAAAGAAATGAAGAACTTATGGACATTATGAAAAAGCAACTAAACATTACACCAATAACAGATTTTATAACACAGTACCATAAAAACTGGAAAGAACATGTACACAGAATGATTTCAGGCAGTGGATATCAAAAATTATTTTAATATACCGCACAAAAGGAAAGAGATGTTCGGGCCAAACCCTCATAAATGGAAGGATTTTGTTATGTAACGCCCGTAATAGGCCATAAGGCCTATACTGGAAATAAAGAAGAAGACATATCAAGTGTCCAGCTGAGTTAATCAATGTGCAATAACTCATTTATTTATTTATTTGGCTTAATGACTGAATTTTTTTTACTAAGATCTTAAAATCAATTGACACAAATAGAGCAATGATACCAAAGGAAATCAGCATTATGGAAAGCAGTTCTTAACCTTCTCTAAGAAGGAAGACCTGTAAGGTTATGTGGAAAAAAAATAGCTGTGCTTTGAAGTAAAGCATGAAAAATTTTGCTCACAAAAATTGAAAACAGAATTTAAACACCAACAATTCCAAGTTACAAGCTAACCTTGTAATCTGCCATCACAACTTTTGTCAAAGTACTTTTTACAGCATCAGTGTCAAATGGAGGTCTTCCAACCAATAAAGTGTACAGTAAGCAACCAAGGCCCCAGACATCTGCTTCCAGCCCATGTGAACTGCGTGTTGCAACCTGTAACAAACAATATTTTACCTAATCTGTACAAATACATCTTTACTAGAATTCAATATTCTACATAAAAACTGTTCTTCTACCAACATTTTTGCTTCAAGTTTAATATAACATGATATAACTAACTAACTAGATGGCTTACCGAACCCGAAGGTTCATCACCGAATTAACCAAAGCCCTCCACCGGACCCTGTCCTGGGCCAACAAAATCCAGTTTCCTTCAACTCCTATCTCCCATAGATCCCGCCTGAGATTATCCTCCCATCTACGTCAAGGTCTCCCCAGCGGTCTCTTCCCTGCAGGTTTCCCAACCAGTACCCGGTGCACACCTCTTGTCCCATCCATGCACGCTACATGTCCCGCCCATCTCACTCTTCTCGACTTAATCACCCTCACAATACTGGGGGAGCAGTACAGATTTTAAGCTAGTCATTGTGCAGTTTTCTCCACGCCCCACCGTCTTCCCTCTTAGGCCCAAATATCCTCCCCAACACCCGATTCTCAAACACCTGCAATCTGTGTTCCTCCCTCTGAGTGAGAGACCATGTTTCGCACCCATACAAAACAACAGGCAAGATTATTGTTTTGTATACTTTAATTTTCAGGTTCTTAGAAATCAGACGGGAAGACAAAATATTTTGAACTGAGAAGTAGCAAGCATTTCCGGAATTTAGTCTCCTCCTAACTTCCTCACAAGTATCATTTTGATTTGTTATTGTTGTTCCCAAATATTTGAACTTTGTAACCCTTTCAAAGGATTTATTAGCCACCCTAAGATAATTTTGCCCGCCTGTCTTCTGATGACGAGATACTAACATGTACTTAGTTTTTTCTGAATTTACTTCCACCCCCACTTGTCTCCCAGCCTCTAGTAAAACTTCTGCGTTCCTCTTTATTGTATTTATATCGTCCCCCAATAAATTAACATCATCAGCATATGCCAATAGCTGATGTGTCCCGTTCAATTGCAAACCCTCCTGCCTACCTTGGACCTTCCTGATGGCGTATTCTAGCGCAAAGTTAAAGAGCAAGGGAGACAAAGCATCTCCTTGTTTTAGACCGTTCTTGATGAGGAATGTCTCAGATACATATTTACCTACTCGAATTTTGCTGCAGGTTTCATTTAAGCACATTTTTATTAGACCCACTAGCTTCTTTGGTATACCAAATTCAATAAGAATATTATATAGCACTTCTCTCTTCACAGAGTCATAGGCTTTTTTGAAATCTATAAATAACTGATGTACAGTCCCACCGAACTCCCATTTTTTCTCTAGTATCTGACGAATGCAAAAGATCTGATCAATCGTTGATCTGTTTCGTCTGAACCCACACTGATGATCCCCAATAGTTTCATTCGCATATGGGGTTAATCTTGCCAAAAGAATGTTGGATAGAATTTTGTATGAGGTTGATAGCAGCGATATTCCTCGGTAATTACCACACTCAGTCTTGTCCCCCTTCTTATAAATAGGAATAATTATGGATTCCTTCCATTGATGTGGCATCTCTTCCTTATCCCAAATTAACTGAATAAGCTTATGGATCCTCATATGCAACCCTTTGCCACCTGCTTTAATTAATTCGGCCGGAATCTGATCAATTCCTGGAGATTTATAACTTTTCAACTTCCCAATGGCTAGTTCCACTTCATCTAAGCTAGGTTCTGGCATTTTAATCTGTCTAATATCACCAGTATCATGAACATTTAACAGCTCGCTAAAGAAATTTTTCCACCTATTCACAATTTTTATTGGATCTGCATATAACATGATATACTAAATTTAAAAACAAATATACATGCTCATTTTTCTCACTTTAAAAATTGGAATTACCCTGAGAAATATTTAATAGGAAGTTTATATACTTATTTATGGTTTATTTCACGACATGATCTACCTCAGATTATACAGGATTATATGCCACTCTCTTGTGCAAACAGTTTAAGGAGACTGGAAACATTTTTCACAAGAAAGGTACAGGGCATCCATGTGTATCTGATGAAAATGTCGAAAGGATACATCGGAACTCTGTCTGCAGTCCATGTAAGTCAACACAAACTGCAGTATGTGTGTTCCAAACGCAGCACACAACAGTGCATCTGGATAAATTGTCCTCTATTCAGAGACAACACACCACACTCCAAATTTTAAGGACTGTAATGGAAGGTATGAACATTCTATATTCTGCTGTTTAGACTATTAATGTAGCTACTTAGGTGGAATCATGCTTCATCACAAGACAACTTTATCTGAAATGTCTATAAGCCCTTGGATGAAGTATGTAAACCATCAACAATGAATAATCTTTGCACTTATGAGGTATTACTGTGTCTTTCTGAGTCATACTTTCAGAGAAATTGTTTTAACAGGTAACTAAAAATTCATGAATTGCAATGCCATCCAATCCAAAAAATAATATTCAAGGAAATTCAGTGGTTCCTTTAATTTGAATTAACAGTGTCTGCAGTATTTTAAGTTACCTCAGGTGAGATATAGTTTGGAGTTCCACACATGGTAAGATGTTTCTCATCTGCACAAGACAATTGTGTTGCTAGTCCAAAGTCTGCTATTTTCTGTAAACCAAACAGCAGTTAGAAATAAAAAGCCCTTGGTAAGTTCTATGTAACTATTCATTAAAGTTAAGTGTACAGCATACTTTATTAACTTACAAAATTTTGAAACCAGCTGAACATACGAGGTGCGATCGGAAAGTTTCCACACTGTGTCAATAGAGGGCGAACCGGATGTAGTACGAGCTTCTGCGCTAGGGGGTGCGGCCTACATTCATAGTGAATCAGTGTGCCAGCCGGCATCATCGAATTAGCATTTGTTTCTTAGTTACGGGCGTTTTGGTAGTGCATTACACCGACCCTCCTGCGATTTCGGAATGGCGGATTTTCATGAACAAATCAAATTTTGCCAAAGACTCGCCAAAACGGCTACGGAAACCTATGAAATGCTAAAGCAAGCATTTGGGGAGTCCGCAATGGGTCGTGCACAAACTTTTGTGTGGCATTCACGTTTTAAAAAGGGCCGAACCCCTGTCGATGATGACGAGCATTCTGGACGACCATCTTCGAGCACAACGCCCGAAAATGTTACCAAGATTCGGCAGGCCATTCACGAAGATCGACGTCGTACCATCAACGACTTGTGCGACATTGTTGGGACCTGTCAGCTGATTCTAAAGGAAGAACTCCACATGCGACGCATCGCAGCCAAGTTTGTGCCAAGGCTCCTGTCTGAGGACCAGAAGCAGAATCGACTTCTCGTTTGTCAGGAGCTCAAAGATCTTGCAAAAACCGACCCCAACTTCCTTTCTAAGCTCCGTGTGACTTCTTCCTCTTCCCAAAGATGAAAATTCAGCTAAAGGAAAGGAGATTTGAGACGATAGAAGAGATTCAGGCAGAATCGCAGATGGTGCTTGACAGGCTGACAAAGAAAGATTTCCAGGGATGCTTCCAGGCTTCGCAGCGATTTTAATACATAAAAAGATTGTGTGTGTGTGCAAACATAAATTTACAAATGGATGTTATATTCTTGGTTAAGAATGAAAATTTAGTTTTAGATGCATGGAATATTCTGGATAAAAACAATTACTTTAATAAGCGAATATCATATAGCTGATTATTGTACTTCACCTACTGTTTTCTAAGGATATAAACTAGGTGAGATTAAGGTTTTCGTGGCAGTTAGTGAAGATGACTTCTGTAATCTGGTATGTTTTCCAATGTTTCAGAAGTGCTTAAGGTCTCCAACATCAAGGTGACTCATCACCCTGATGATGGAAGTAATAAGCACATCTAAAACATCAGTAGATATTTACCATATTATATGGTGTAGCATCCCAAAACACATTCAATGTCAAACTCGTCTCTTACTATGAGGGAAGTATATCAATTATAAGTATTTTAAAACAAAGTTATAACAAAAATATACAAACTTGAGACAGAAGAAACTGAAAATGATAAATGCTGGTATTGCGCAACTAAATATTTTGTAACCTACTGCAATGGGGGAGTGGGGGTGGGGCTATATAGAATTTTTATGGGGAAAAATTCGGAGTCAAACACCATAAATCACAATTGTCTGATATTTGTAAAAAAATGTAAAATTCAGTTTCCTTTGTACTCAGAACTGAAGAAGTTACTGTAAGACAGATGTAGATATACTAATTGATATCAATACAATTCTGTGGTCCTTACAATTCTCATGTCCTTGCTTAGCAGCAGGTTAGCCAAAGATATGTCCCGGTGCAGAATGTTATGCGAATGTAAATACAACAAACCCTGAACAACTTGACGAAAAATGTGACTTGCTGGAAAGAGAAAAAAACAGAATTAAGCTTATTCACAACATAACAAATTACTAAAACTTATCAAAAACTAAAAGAATAAAATTAGGAATGGTAAAGTTAAGAAACTCCAAAAATACAGAAATATGCACTATAAAAGAATCAAGACAAAGCACCAAAATGAAAAATTAGAACTACTGTTCACTCACTGCATTCTACCTCCAGCACTTCCTTAACTGTTTAAGTGCTATATGTTTACAAGCTGCTGTAATTGTATGTGCCACGTACCTTTCACTATTTTCAGCCTTGGCCTCCTACATGTGGGAGGTTTCTTTCTTTGAGGCATGCATTTAAGAGTAGTGAGTGACAAGTCCACTGCCTCTGCACAATTCCTACTCAATCCTGATTTGTCTGCTAGAGCCATCTAGTAGTGAGTCAGGAGAGACTTGGGTGAGAAATGGCCTCTGAATTTTGCTTATGAAACAACTCATTCATGCTCGTAATGTTCTTTTACATACTGTAAATCTATGACATGGGACCGCCAGCTTTACTTCTCCTCTGAAGGAAGTTATGCTACAAATTTTTATCACCCTTAAAAATCCATCGAGCTCGGCCAGATTTGAACCCGCAAACCTTGGGTCCAGTGGCGAGCACACTAACCACTAGTCCACTGAGGGTGACCAATGAATTTTTAATGCAAACATTTTACTTTTGTCTTACCTTATGATTATAAATCTGACTGGGAAGACCTGCAGACATATTCTTCATTACAACTATCACAATATCACTTATAAATACTACCACTATCACTATATCTACCATGTTTACTATTGAAAACTGTCAAGTCTGTTTTCATACACAAAATATATAATTTCAATGAGACAGAAAAGTGTTACTGTACCACTGAAAGGTTCTAGAACTCACCCACAAATGGGAGATTATGTAAATTCAGTAGTATGATCAGTCTGAAATAAATGTTCAGATACAGAAATGTGTGTCAAACATTTGCATAGAAGCACACAGAACTGGTGATACATAATATATACCAACCAACACCTTAATTTCTTTCCATAATGATATTATGCTGTCATCTTCACCATCAGGAGTTCTGAGGACAGCCCAGTAGCACCATTTTATTGACACAATCACTCAATCCCTACCCAATAATTTCTTCCCAATTCTGCTGCCAATTATCCGTTCTCAAATTTTTCAAGTAACTCACACTTTCATTCTACTGTCAGTACAATTTTCAGCCATTTTACTTGGGATTCTTAAGCGTTAACTACAATTTTCACATAACAGATGCACAGTACAACATAACTGTAAAACACCAACATTTGAAAAAAAACAGGCACCAGCAGCATCCCCTCTCTCCACCACCATAACCACCATTGACAATGACCAAAAAGAACAAAGAAATGGGAAGGGGGGGGGGCACCCTTCTCAAGGACACAGTATGGCATGGAAAGGTCAAAAGCTTAGTTCAAACTTGTCCATGTTTATGTAAAAATAATCATGCATGGATAATCTGCAAATCAGAGTCTGTATTTGGATAATAAGGGGTTAAATGTATTTATGACAACAAGGAACAACAGATTTGAACAGTAAACTTATGACCTTAGAAGGAGAAAATTTAATACATATACTGTATATTTGCCAGCAACAGACTGAAACATAAAATTATATGATAGTAACAGAATTCAGTAACATCCTAACTTCATGTTCCTCAGGACAATAGATTCAAGATTTAAACTGATGTAAACCATAGCAGAGGAAATGTAACACTCAGATAACAGGGTTGTGACCATAGAAATTATATGCAAATGAGAGAAAACCTTAAACCTTAAACTCTGCTTGCTATCATTTGTGGTGGAAAACATGGATAAATTTAAAAGAAATACAGATGTACATAATTTAAATACAAGACGTAAATGATCTATATGTGCCAAATGCTAACTTTACTAAATATCAGAAAGGAGTGTACTATACAGGTATCAAGTTGTTTAATAATCTTCCACCAACAATTAAAAGTCTAAATTATGATATAAAGGTATTCAAGCCTGCATTGAAAGATTACCTCTTTACTCACTCCTTCTATTCTGTAGATGATTTCATCTCTGCTGAAAATGTTTAAGCTTTATATCCATAATCTACGTATATGTAAAGCAAGTTTTGTATTTATATTTAAAATTCTGAGGTTTATGTATATTAATTTTGTAAAATTATTTTTCATACTTGTATTGCAGAATCTGAAATTTATGTACATTGATATGTGAAATACGTTCTTGTACTTGTGTTGAAAGTTGTGAAGTGTATGTATATTGTATGAAATGACATGTTCTACATCCTTTGGTTGAGTCCTAAGAAGGATCTATGGAATGTAAATAAACTCTACTCTACTCTACTCTGTGAAACATATATGCAAATTCTGCTATTTTTGTTTACTAAATCATTCCTTACCTTCCTCTTCAGTTAAAAGCATAGCATTATTTTTTATGTATCTCTGTAATTCTCCATTATGACATAGTTCCAGGACTAAGTATACATAATTTACATCTTCAAAGAATGTATATAATTCCAGGACTGAAGGATGTTTGAGGCGAGAATGAATTGCAACTTCTTGGCGCACTCGACCTACCATCCCAGCTGCTTGCATTAACTTTTTGTCAATCTGAAAATAACATATGTGGATGAGAGTGTATAATACACTAACTATGATAATCAAGTTACACAAATATCAAACTATAAACACAAACAACAGAAAGCACAGGACATCTTATACGACAATTCTAGCTAGATTGATACCTATAACATCTTGGACAGCTGTCCAAGATATCCATTACTGTTATTAAACTTGGACGGTCATCATGATGTATGGTTCCTCTCTTATAAGCAGACTCATCAGCCAATTATTACTTATGTACTCAATAAAACATTATTCATCAGAACTTATGCACATTTTTAAAAAAACTTTTGGGTGTAACTCATAAATTTTAATGTAGTATACAATACGAATTATAGTACATAGTAATAAGACTTATATTTTTCATTCCAAACCTAGTAGTGGGGGGGGGGGGGTACTCAAATAAAAAACTAGATGAGCAGAAAATGTAGTGCACAGGGAGAAAACAAGAAATGCATACTAAACTTCAGTTGTAAATCTCCAAGAGATACATGGAAAATTCATACACAGGTAGAAGGATAATATTACTTTAGAGCTTAAAGAACAAGATGGTACTGGTATGAACTGCACTGAAACTGGATAAAAACAGGTTCTACACTTCCAAGAATAAATGGCACACAAATTTTCTGTGATTGGAACCCAACAGAATCACAAAAAATATTAATTCCAACTGGTTGGTCATAGAGATCCTGTCCTTTCTTGTCAATGGTGATGATAATATTGAGAATTGTTACAAAAATGCTCCTTTGCTGAATAGGGGCAGGAATTTCACACATCATACACAGTGCCCAATGTTCACTTGCAGTGAAGGGATAAATTTAATCAATTTATGTGCATTTTTTATTATTATAAATACAATTTAGTGTACCGAAAGCAAAAGAGAGGAACATGAGAAAGTGATAAGTTGTTGGAATATCATAGGTCAGCGTCTCATGCCACAGACTTGGGTGCCAAATATCCAACGCTAAGTTAACTGGGGAACAAGTAACTATTTCTGGACACTTAATTTGAATTCTGATACTTCGGTAGAAATAAAATTAACGGCGACAAGTAATGAAATAATTCTAAATAAACTCAAATCTTTTTATACCATTTTAACAGCCACTTCAATCCCCGTCTTCAAACACCTCGCTCGATATACACTGGCAAAACCTCCTTTTCCAAGCAAATTGAGAACTTCATAGTTCTGAAACGAAAATTGCTCAAATGGTTTGTTGTTGTTTTTTTCCCCCTAAGAGGCATGGTTAAAGCATTACAATGCACTTACAACAGAGAACTGGAAGAAATCATCTAACCTCAATTCTTTCTCCAAAGCTGGAAGCCCCACCTGACACTGGTGGCATTTTTGTGCCACAAAAATTACCGGCATACGTCGTTTGCGAGTATGTTATAGTACTAACTGAGAGACCATTTAAAATTAACTTGAACGTCCATTTGAAAAACCGGATGTTAATAACCCTCAAGCCCACTGCTCACTTTAATTCGACCAATCACGTATTTTATTTTCAATGGTACGTCTATTGCATTTCCTGGTCGCATGTGGTTCCAAGTACGATCATACGAAAGTATTAAAAAAAACCTGTAACGTGACTAGCGACATCTTCCAGGGAAAAGACAAAATTAGAGAGAATATGTAGAAATTTAAAACTCTACATTGTTCGTTTAGTGGCCGCATTCTAAAAGTGCAGTTTACTATTTACTATACTAGATATGTTGATATAAATTGTGGAGATGTCCATTACAGACAGTTCCTATACTTTAATTTCTTCTGCCTGTAGGTCTAAAGTTGACCCGTGCATTGCTGGACAGGTCACTCCAAGAATCATCCGTTCAGGCTGTGTAACATCGTGTCTGCTTTGTAGAACGCACTACGAACGTGCCATGTTTCGTTTTGGTTTAGTAGTTTTACGTGTTATGTAGTGATGGGTCCCGACAAGTTGGACTATTTCACTACGGCTCCCTTCGATAAAGGAGTCGTTCACAGAGAATTTATGATAAATAACAACTAAAATTAATTTGATGTTCATTTATAACAGATAATAAATATTGTATACTTTATTAAATATTTTGAGTAAAGTAAAGTTTGTCCCACTATACGCCATGTAGGCGTTTGGGGTGAGAGGAGGTATAGCTCCTCTCTTCCTTGACCTCGGCACTAGATGGGGGTGAGTGGTCAGCATCACGCCCCGGCCGGCTTTACCCCCGGGAAAGGACCCCGGTACCCATTGTAGAGGAGGCTGGGTGGGCCCCAGAGCCGGTCTGGACGAAGAGGCTAGAGGAAAAATCCTCTGCCCCCGTCGGGGATCGAACCCCGGTCGTCCAGCCCGTAGCTAGTCACTATACTGACTGAGCTATCCCGGCTCATAAATATTTTGAGTAGAGGAAATAAATTATTCTAAAAATAAATTATTGCATAAAAGCTAGTAGTAGTAAATGTGAGTACGTACATAGTGTGCATCTGATATGGAGCATACTGTGTGTTATGCATCTTTGGAAAAAGTTGGAGTCATTCCTGTCCTTGTGACTCACATTGGCAGGGAACCATGTGTGCTCCATTGTTCACAGTTCCTCAGCTCCAAGCATAGATGGCTCCAGAAGCTGTGGGAGTAGATAATTCACAAAGTGTATGACTTAACTTCTTCAGTGAGCAGATAGTTTCAAATTCAAATGAAAAATGATATTGCTCACTCCAGTTATTGTATGTAATATGCTTGTTCCCTGTTTGCTCTTGTGTCTGCTTCTTTCCTCGACATGTTGGGTGAATGTTGTTCCTGTGCTTTGTAGCATTATGCCAAGAAATAATACAAAAGTACTATTGTTGGCCCTTCACTTCCATACATGGTACAGTTGCTTGAAGGGATTCTTCCTCCATTCCTAAAAGCAACTATCATTGTCTTATCTTTGTTTTTCTAGAAGTTGTTGATCCTGACCTTGCTGCTGTTTTGTCAAATGTCACTGTAGATCCTCTGAATTCTTAGACTGCTGAGCATACTATTAGCTTCTCAAGAAGGATTCTGCTGTATGAATTTGTTATGTAATATTGGACTATTTGTGTAATCATTACATCTGGTTGGGTAAAGGGCAAGAAGGAAGTTGAATTGGAATTAAATAAATGGTACTGGAATATGGTTACACTTATTGCTGTAATGGTTGGATTTCACTATAATTTTGTTATGGTACTTTAATAATTTGGTTAAAATTCTGTTTGGTATAAGATAGTTGGTTACCTCTAATAATGATGATGTACTTCATTGCAAATTTTGATTCATGTTCACTGTTGCAGCCTATTATGTAAAAAGTTGAATACTTACAGCAGTCCTTAGAGATTTCTCTTTGACACTAAGGCTACACTCATCAGTTGTCAATATTGTTATGAGATACTAGAGATTATTGTGTGATGCTTTGAATTTCTTAATTATATTCTTGTTTGAGAAATCATTGTTGTCTGTTTTATTCTACTATCCATTTAGGCTTGTCCCTTGGTTGCATTTTGTACATTATCAAAGGCTATTGTGCAATGCATTCTCTTTCCTTGTGAGAATGTGATGAATAATATCTGTGACTTGAAGCTTCCACAGTAATTGAATTTGATAAAATGTTCTTGGGCACCAAGCTGTTACAAAAATGTGCCTGTTATCTAATTTTTTCTCTATAATATGCCATTAGAAGTGCTTAAGAGTGCCATGGATTGAATGGATAAAAGCAGTTATTCATGCTGACAATAGTAATTTATTAAGTGGAAACATACATACCATATAAGAACATGGAAATACATGTAGGAATAATATAATACAAGTTCATGTCGCAAAACTCAAATCTAGGAAAAAACCATATTCTAGCACTACGGTAATATTTCCTTTGGAACCACTGTAAAATTCAAGTACTTAAGAATAACACTAACAAATGAAGGTGATCAGTTATCATATTTACTGGTGTATTTTCTTTGAAAATGGCTCTAAAAATCACAGTGGTCTTCCACATTGGGAAGTATAAATGAAAATGAGACAAATATTAGAACTATGAAGATTTCTGTCTTCTGGTTTGTTGCGCCGTGTAGTCTGGTCGACCAGACTACATGGTGCAACAACCCAGAAGACAGAAATCTTCATACTCACTGCTGTGAAAACCTCAAATATTACATTAGAACTATGGTTGAGAAGCTGCCATTTCCTAGGAAGCGACTCAGAAATATCAATTTATGTCCTTTCCTTTTCATACTGGTCTAGAATCTGTAATTCCCTTCTTAATATTTAATCAGTTCTTTATCTAAACTTCTCAGAATCTGATGCAAACCTTTACCATTTGACATTTTCTTACAAGCACTTCCCCTTTTATGTTTCATCTGTATTTAGTGTTGTATTTTAACTTATGTAGGTTCAACTCATTGGGAATAACACTGTACAGTTTTTTTTATCTGTGTAAAAATATTTAATTTCTCCTTCCTAAATCATCATGTATTTTACCAATTTACAAGAAGGGGGATAAAACTGACTGTAGTAATTATTGAGGCATATTTACTGTTATCAGCTTCATACAAAATTTAATCCACCACCTTCTCAAGGTTAAGTCCACACATAGACAAAATTATTGGGGATCATCAGTGTTGGTTTCAACATAATAGGTCAACTATTGATAACATTTTTGTATTCTTCAAATACTATGGACAAATGGGAGTACAATCAGACAGTACATCAGTTATTCACAGACTTAAAGCATATAATTTAGTTAGATGGGAAGTATTGTACAATATTCTCATTGAGTTTGGTATACCCATGAAACTTGTTTGGCTTATTAAAATGTGTTTAAATTAAACATATAGTAATGTCCATATAGGTAAACGTATTTGACATGTTTCCTATTCAAAATTGTTTAAAACAAGGAGATGCTTTATTGTGACTGTTTTTCAACTTTGCTTTAAAATATGCTATAAAGAAAGTCCAAGAAAACCATGTGAGTCTGAAATTGAGTGGGACATATCAGCTTCTGGTCTATGCTGATGATGTAAATCTACTGGGGATAACATAAATACGATAAAGAAAAACACATGCTCTAGTTGACACTAGTAAGGAGATTGGTCTAGAACTAAACATGGCAAAAACAAGTATATGTTGATGTCTCATCACCAGAATGCAGGGCAAACTTGTATTATAAAGATAGCTAATGGATCCTATGAAAATATGACAACGTTTAGACATTTGGGAGCACAATAAGAAATCAAAATTTGATTCACAAGAAAATTAAGATCAGATTTCACTCAGTTCAGAACCTTTGTATTTTCATCTGCTGTCTAAAAATGTAAAGATTAAAATATACAAAACTATAATTATACCTGTAGTTTGCATGGGTGTAAAACTTAGTCTCTGATGCAAAGGGAGGCACATAGACTGAGGGTGTTTGAGAACAGGGTGCTGAGAAGAATATTTGGACCACCTAAGAGAGATGATTTACTAGGAGGCTAGAGAAAGATGCATAATGAGGAGCTTCAAAAGTTGTATTCATTGCCAAATATAATTAGACTGAGGGTGAGATGGGCAGGGCATGTAGCCTGCATGGGAGAGAATAGGAATGCATACAGGGTTTTGGTAGGCAAACCAAATGGAAAGAGGCCACTAGGAAGACCTAGACATAGGTGGGAGGACAATATTAAAATGGGTCTTATAGAAATAAGATGCATTGGTATGGACTGGATTTATCTGGGCCAGGATAGGGGCCAGTGGTGGATTTTTGTGAAAATGGTAGTGGACCTTCAGGTTCAACAAAATATTGGAATTTGAGTGGCTGAATAACTGTTGGCTTCTTGGGAAAGACTTGGTTCCATAGAGTAAGTAAGCAAACCATTATGCATCTTAGTGGGAAATACAATAATTACATTGAGAATACAATAAACACAGACTAAAATATATTTTTGTCTTTTCTGTTTTATGGGAACAAAACTCTCTGACAGAACAAGTATTGAAGGTAGCAGTATTTAAAAACAGAGAACTAGGAGAATATAATGTAAGAGATGATATAACAGAAACAAAGAAAAACAAAATCTAATTTGTACTCTTCATGTTACCATTATAACAGTTAAGCAGGTTTAAAGAACTGAACATGTAGCAGAAATAGGAAAATCAGACATCTGTACAGGATTTTTATTAGAAATGTCATGAAAGATATGGCTCCTAATTTAAAAAAATGGGGTTGATCAAGCTGAATAAACGTCTTGCTCAGACTTTATCATGCAGGAATGGGGGATTCAAACCACATACTACATGGCTCCTAGCAGGACTTTAACTTCAGAATTAATGGTTTAGTAGTATGCTAGTGAACTGCATGATCAGCTGAACCAGGCATAAGCAGTGACATACAGATGATAAAGGTCAATATTAACACACTAGTGGGTACCAAACGTTCCACTGAATACATTTGGTCAACAGACGTACTGAAAGAACCTCAGACAAAATCTAAATATTGGTTATTAAAAGGGACATAGAAATGGCAGTTTTTAAAAGATGACAGTGGCAAATAAAATTTTAGACTGCTGAGAGGAAAGTTTCTGCTTTCATTATCACAATTTCATCAAATGTCTTAATATAAAAAAATTCTAATTCTTTTTGCACACAGCAACCAATATTCCTATATTTTTTGTTTTTCAGCTATGTACTGTGAAAATCCAACATTACATAGCTATGTAATGACAATAAATTTGCACACTGAACATTCTGACTCATGATTATGCTTGAATCATACTATCCCAAAAATTAATCACAATAAGTTCAAAGAATCACCATTTCCACTAAATACCTTTTCACTTCAAGTCCACAAAAATACAATGTCAGTCCCTTAAATACTACAAAATATAAGCTTTCACTTTTAAATAGAAATCATACACACACACATAGAGGTCACTCAAAATTCTTGTTTTCTATTTCTTTTACCAGACTTTATGATAAAATGGCTTACTATGGCACAGAATCAGCATTTCTATCTGTAATTGTGGAGTAGAGGGGTTCCATGGAAATCCTGAAGACTCTGGGGTTTCACACAGCATATATTAGAAATAAATGAAAGCAAAGAGGATTCCAGCCCCCATAAAAACCCCTTGGCTATTTTATTTAAGAATCATGAATAAGAGGGTTTTACTTCTTAATACACAGAAAACATATTAGAGTAAATGTTTAATAAAATCATATGTATTCTCTGTATCCTATTTCAGACATAATCCCTGCAATTGTTCATTTGGCCACACCTGTGAAGTTTTTTAAGATGTCCTGCAAGGATTTGCTGGAATGGTGAATTTTTATCACAAAATAGAATTGTCCATTAACATACAGTGCATCCACTGACAAATATAAACATAACTATCACTTCCCAGCTCCTGGCAATAACTGCATGACTCAACACAAAGTTCAAACAGCAATTGCTGCTGAAGTCAGGTCTACTGGGTCTCTTCTGGACAAGAAACCTGTTAATAAATACTACGTCCTTCCAGAAGAAAAACTGGATGAAATAGGGGCTAAGTCAGAACACACCAGTGAAAACATTGGGCCACCTTGCATAAGAGACCAGCATCCTGAAACTGCCAGCAGCCAAAGCTACTTAAATATGAGACATATAATGTGATTGTAGTTTATGCTTCGCAAGCATGTGACTCAGGTATTAGGATTAGTTTCTGCAACTGGTTTTTGTAATCAGTTAATTATGGTGATGTTGACCATCATTTGCCTCTCTTCAATTTCATGCAGGCACACATGCGCACAAACACACACATGCACAGTGAAGCATGGTTTCATTTTCTTGGACATGCTTCCTCCCAGAATAATCATGTTGGAATTTAATTCACAAAGTTCCTCTTCATGATGCAATTTCAACATATTTAAATGGTACAGAGTGTTTGAACACGGATAGTGTTTTCAGCACATCTTGTAATATAGGCATGTTGATTTTATTGTTTTTATGGAGTGATACTTTAATTGAACTGGGAAAACCATATAGTGCTTGGCAGGGAGTCATGTAGTTTCTACTGGGAGCTGGGAAGTGCCAGTCGCATTTAACTATTATAATAATTTTATAATGATTAAGAACATTTAATACTGGAAAGGCAATAGAGACAATTCATGTTTCATTATGGTACAAACTTACCATTCCATACCATACCAGTGTAATAAAAAATGGATACTTGCCTTCACACCAGAAATTAGTGCATATTCACAAGATACAAATTATAATGGTTAATAAATCATGGTTCACTACCAGTTCTTATTCAGTGTCAATTGGAAAGTTCATGCTTATTATAGACTGAAGGACTGAGTTAACGATTTACATATGAATAAGATTGGAACACAATAAGTAGAAATAAGTACACTGTGTAATAAAACATTCTCTCACTATCTGTTCAAATGAGTGAAAATATACATTAACAATAGCTCTAACTTTTAAAATAAATAATTTTTATTTAGTGGTTGTTTCCATCATGCCCAATCTGTTCTGGGAAAGCTGGAGACTTGTGGTACCGACTGTTGTGAGTTGATAAACTCCACTTTGTCTTGAAGTACCGGTTGCATTTGTCACAAAAGAAGACGGAGTCCTGCTTCTGATGCTTGGCTGCGATATGGCGAGATAGAATCGGCAATGTGTTGAATGTGTGCTGACAGAGCATGCACATGTAGCGGTCTCCAATCAGCAAGTAACCTGGGTACCGTGAATTGTTTTCCTCACCTGCAAAAAAGGCCAACACTTAAGATGCAGTCTACCCTGAAAGAAACTGAAGTATGGAACAAATGAAATCGTGCTCACCAGAATAGTGGTACTCAATTAGTTCCTCTTAATGTAAATACTGTGTTAATAGTGATATGTGCAATAAGGAAAACCTTGTATGGTGTAACTGTAATATGCTTTACCATTCCCCCCTCTACTCATCCAAACTGTATGCTGTCAAATATATTTGGATGACAATCTTAATATAAATTTTAGTTAAAACAACATATGAACTGTGAGACTCTCATATTAAGTGTTTTATTACAAAGTACAACATAGAAAAGTTAAAACAATATTCATCACTGATATATTCATTAGTCAATGTAATGTGTAAGTAATACATTAATATATTAACATTAATGATACCACAAATTTATATATTTTGTTACAATTATGAACAATCAGTGTGTATCTACAAACTAAATGAGAATTCTATTTTAAATACAGTGAATGCTGGAGTTAGGAGTCACTGGTTTCTTGATACAGAATCATGTACAGTCATTTACAGATTGCTCCAACATCCACAAAATTGGCTGCTGTGTACCAAGGACTGTTGGCATTTTGTTTACAAGTCATGGACCATTCGGGTGTGTTCCCTTAGACTGTACTTGTTCTTGAAGGTGCGTTTGCAGAACTGGCAGATGGCTGTGGGGATGCCACTGTGCTGAGTTCGAATGTGACGTCGCAGATTGCCCATAGATAAGACAGAAGGGCAATGTGGACAGTATTCAGTGCCAATAGGGAGCAAAGGAATTGGTGTACCCACCAGCAATGCTGAAAAAAAAGAATGCTTAATTTCAGTTCTTTACCAAATAATTCCATAAACCTGCAGAAGAAGTTTACTGGAAAAAATTACTGCCTGATAAGCAATGAATAACCATCTTGCTGCAGAGTAATCATAGTATATGCATAGTCTTTTTCACAGATGGAATGTGTTTCACGGATTGCGTTAAACATACCATGAGCATTATCCTTTATTTTAGAACACATACAAACATTTCATTTAATAAAGGTGTAACTTGTTTCAGATTATATAAAATTATGAAACTTATTACAAAGGGATGCAATTAAACAAACTGTTATTGGAGTCGATAATGACTTCAGTTTTTGTCAGAAATGTCAACCAACAGAACATGGTAGGCACTGAAAACATTCTGGACAACAAATTCAACAGGAATGTGAATTTTCTGTGATATTATTTTGGCTTTGTGTTGCCACACATTTTAGCAGCTACAAATTGAATTTATGAGCTCTGTGACTCTTGCTGCGATGGACCCACATGTTGTATTTATTCTTAAACAGTTTTCCACAAACTGGACATGGTTCAGCACAAGTTTTGGCATGTGCCGACTGAATGTGCCGTTTCATAGATGTCGTCTGGGCTAACATCTTCTTGCAGATTGGACACTGTCTTACACCCCTCAAGTTTGGCAGCCACACTGTATCTGAAAGCCAAGAAATGGCATATATTACTGGTATCTTCCTACATATTCTTGTTTAATCATAGTATCAAACAAAGCATACCATTAGCAGACAAAAGTATAGATATGCTCCATAATGTGTAAAACCACGTGACAATGTAGATGACAAAGACAAGTAATTTTGTGACCTAAAGAATCGCACACCTATTAGGTGTTTTTCACTGAAGTCCTCTTGACAAGGTGAGTGAGCATTCCAATCTTCGAAGTAAAATGTTTTCAGTATGAAAAAAAGTTGCTTAGCATACTACAACTAGCACTGTGTATAAATGTGGTATTAGTCATAATATGGCCACATGAGAAAGCAGACCAGGCACTGTTCTGAATGTACTGCCTAGCTTATACTCTGCCTCATGTGTTAAAGTTCATCCATAAATAAAAAACAGATAAACGCACTGTATAAATGAAACATGCACTTTTATACTGTTTTTTCTCCACAGATGTGCAACTAATTTACACTGCCTGTATTTCATCTGCATAAGATTACTTAATTAATTACAATTTGTATTCTTAATTTGTTTGTTCTTTCACTCAACAGATAAGTATTCAATATTAGTAAAAATACATTTAGTTTATTTCAGAAATCATCTTATATGATGTCAACATTAAAATACAACCAAATATACTTCATGTCTCTAATAAGATTATGTGTAAACATTTGGAGAAAAAAGAGCTTCAGTCTATTTTATAATCTACATAGATGTAGGATTTTACTTTCTCACGGTAGTGAGTATGAAGATGGCCGTCTTTTGGGTTGTAGCCCCATGTAGTCTGGAAGTATTTTACTAATGTTTCAGAGGTCTTTGCTGCCTCCTGATGATGGCAGCAGTAAGGACCTCTGAAACACTGACAGCCATCTTTGTACACCAATATAGTTTTCAGGATATTGCAATCAGCTCTCTGATTTGTTACAGGGTAATTTTTTGTGGGAAAGTTTCCTGTCCTCAAAAAATTACACACAATTTTAGTTACAGATCAAGGTCCTCTGGGTTGTGATGCAATGTAGTCTCACAGGTGATTACCACTGTCTGAAAGAATGTATTGCCTCCATCTTCAGGTCCATAATATTAGTAATATTGATAAACACCTACAGTAAAAAGCTAAATTCTCAGGTATTAACCTTTATTGTATGCAAATAGGAGATACAAACCCCCGTACTTCAGGGCTGCCAGCTGCACTTAAATTCTGGAGTCAAAAGTTTAAGAGGTATTCTACTGCAGCTGGACTAGGCTCAAGCCATGGCACATGACCGATAAAAGCTAACTATCAAATTCTAGTCTTTAGTCTTGTTTGTTTAATTTATTTGAAGGAAAAACAAGTTTAACCCTGGAAGCCTTGTCTTCATTAACTATGTTGATAGTTCAGAACTGCACCAAACAGTGTGAATGACAATGAATGAATGATTTCAGAAAGGGGTCCAATCATGAAAATATAAAAATGATGATAGTACTTATTTAGTCAAAGGTGTTCTCATCATTTTGTCCTGAAAGAGGGATAGTCTTTCACACCACTATATCAGAATATTAGGTAAGATATGTCTGTGTACTTCAGAAAGGGAATTAGTAAGTGACAGAACCCTTTCCTGAACTACCAGTGTATAACTGAAGAGCACATCAAGTGATGTGTGAAGAGCTTAATATCAAATTGAGAAACTGATTTTAAGCTCCCCCCCTCCAATCAGCTGAACTTCTGGTTCACAGAAGTATGGAGAAACAAAATAACTGCAAATATCCTCATTTGATTTCTTGCAAAACAATCTTGTGCAACAGATATGCTATCTCAGACAGCTATGGGTCTATAACTTTGAAATACATGATATGAAAGCCAAAAGGCTACTTTCTATCATTAATATGAAAGAACAGTAAGAAAAGGTTCAGATGACATATACTTCTTTTTGAAAGATTACACATAATTATTACATGTACTGGTGAAAGGGATAAGTCACAAAGTGTCTCTGCAAAACTTAAATTCAGTTTTATTAAATCTTTATTTTCTTGTGTAATAATATTTATAGGGAGTAACTTGACATGTGATATCAATATTTCTGACTATTGTACTGTAAATAATAATGCAGTGTACTGTTTTCATTCTTTGAAAACTTCAGCAAACCTGAAATAACTGATTCAACTGCAACACTGTTATTCTTACTATGAAAGGAAACATTACACAACAGAAATTTTGTTCTGTTCATTATAAAACTGCTGCATTAAAGGTAAATACAATGCATGAAAAAAAAATTGTGTTACATTTTGTGGTCTGTATTTGGTAATAATGAACTTTTAAAATCCTGTCCCCATGTTTCAGATTTTCAGTACTCTACCAAAAATGGGACACAGGTTGAGATTGATACATCATCACTGAAAGAGTAGTGCATTTTCATTTTATTTAAATGTGATACAGAGTTAATAGAGACATAACAGGTACTCTTTAATACAGAATGAAGGATATATTCATAGTGAAATATCAACTTCAAAGACTTCAAGTTTCCCATAATAATAATTTCAGTGACAGCCATCATCAAGCCGAGGACCTCAAGGTTTAGCAGCCCAAAGGCCATGCATCTGTAACAGATGTGAATTGAGAACAGAAATTTGACCGAATATTTTGCCACATAATATGCATGATGTACGCCCTCTGTGTGTCTGCTTGTGCGAATACCAGCTTTGACGATGGCGATAAGATGCTCCACAGGTATCACATTTGTACAGTTCATCACTGCTCTGAACTGGCATCCAAGATGTTGGTAATATCTGTCCATGCATGCATCCTATAACAACAATCACATAATGCACAACCATTTTATCATCATTCAGATACAGAAACAGGACTGAATTATGTAAGTAAATGCAATGTAATATCAGAATATTCGCTCCCAAACAAGAAATGTCAGACAAAATGAGTAAGAGGATTTCTGGTACAAATAAATGTAAGCAACAAACTATAGTCAAGAAAGTATTTATTCAGACTGTTGTACAGAATTTGGATTTTAAAAAGACTGGAACACATTATACCGGGCTGTAATTTTCCACGTTCAGTAACAGCTTAGAAAGCAGGTCTTAAAACTATTTTAATTTTTAAATGAAAATACATTAAAATTATTTCACAAGATATGTTACATTTATAATAATGATAAATTTTTAACATTGAAGATCCTGAAACTGCCATGAACACTGAAAATTGTTCTTCTCAAAATGAATATGAATTCAATGGGAACCTAGATTAACTACACAAAACTGTTTAACTTTAAACCACAGAATACTATTAAATTGTATCAAAGATAAATATTGCGAATGAACGTTTTTGAACATAAAAAATTAAACACTTCATTGTTTCTGTAGTGACCAGCCAGCTTTTTGCATGGCAATACCATGCACCATCATGAGATGCCGATGGAAATTGGATTTGCGACTTAACACCTTATTGCACAGATCACATCTTGTTTCACCCAGATGAATCTTCTTGTGAGCAGTCAAATTGGGTGCA